TCCGATACATTATTTCGAATTTTTCGTAGGTGTCACTGCTAGGTTAGTGCTTTCCTATAAATTTTAGTATCGGCTGGTTACTGTGAACCTAGGTCCACTCAAAGTCTCCTAAACTTGGATGAAGAAATATTCGTGAAAACAGATCCGAAAGAAGGAGAAAGAATATTTTATTACATTCATCTTCCATAATGCCAAACTATTTTTGCAGAATAGCCAATGATAGAATTATTAGACAAAATGGGTGATTATAATTCAAATTATAATTTGATCAAATAAAATTTATAAAAATTATCAGCTTTCGTTAGAGAATTTCATTATGGAACAACAAGAAAGAGAACTGGTATGAATTAATAAACACACACGATTTGTTTTATACTCGTATATCTCATCAAGTATCGCCGATATTTATTAACCCTTTGCACTCGAGAGGTGACTCTCAGTCACCATTTAATTAGATTCTAAAAATCGACGTTAATTAATATATCAAACTTAAAATTATCTAACGACGCGTGGGATGTCGAAGAAAAATAATTCTGTGTCTTAATTTGTATATGATTTCTCATTTACCATTTTAAAAATATCGTCGACTCTATGACAGAGGAGCTTCGAATTACTATTTTTCTGTAACGAAAAAGTCGTCGAGTGCAAAGGGTTAATACAACTCTTAAAAAATTTTATTCGAATAATTCGCATAAGTGCTCGTCGATTTAAATAAATTCCGAAATAGATTACTATAAATACGACGACATTGTAGACTGTCAAAATTATCAACGAGCGTCGAATATTCTCCACGAATTGATCGTTGATCACCCATCGGTCTACAGTTTCAACATCCTACAACATCGACAGCGTTTAAAACCAAATAAAAAAGAAAAAAAAGAAAAAAAAATAGGGAAACACTCGAAAAAGGAGAAACTATCGAATCGAAGGATTAAGAGCTCGTAATAAACATTCGAGATTGCCGGTATAACCTAGCTTTCGCGTACCACGCTGTTTACAACGCGAAATTTTTTACGGATCGCGAAGTGGTCGAATCGTAAACCCGTTTATCGGCCATGTATATCGGTATTGGATTTCACAGGGTTAACTGTGCAACGTGGAAACGAGAATCGGGCTGGAAATATTTCGACTCGACTTCTCGGTGTCCTCTGAACCGCGGCCATGACGACCACCGAACTGTTCAATTTTCCTGGTCAGAGCTTAATTAACCGAGTGGCAAATGAATATTCTGCATTGCAAATTTTTCCAACGGTGCCATCGATCCTTCGAGTTATTACCGAGTAATTAATGCCCCGATGTCGTGGAGTTTTCTTGCCAAGAGGGCTTAAGGACTTACGGGAAATATTCTATAGATACCGCATGTCGTGCTATGAAAATGAGCTTGGCTCGCTGTATCTATTCGCCTCGAGTGAGTAACCGTACTTAACATTCACCATTTTGGTCTCGAATACCTTATGCAACAGCAGACCTCGTTGGACTGGATGTTTCATTGCTTCAATTTGCCCGTTTGCTTAATTAGTTTGATTATATCATTCGTTGATAGCAGAATACCGATATATAAAGTGTGCAAGTATATCATTATAGTTGTTGATTTATATAACGTTATTCTAAATTCCCATGATCACGTGCAATGGAATTATTTGTGGACTAGTACTCGAATTATGAATATTTGTTTGTGAACACTCGTTCGATATTCCGTCTTCTTATTTCCTACTCGTAGCAGATCTTTATTTCAACCTCTTTCGTTTTGAAATAGACTGTGGTTCGTAATAATAGACTGTGGTCTGTACGTGACATATTAAGATATACCTACATAGCTTACGCTACATTGCATCGTACTGCAAGTTTCGCTTATCCTGCTTACAATTATTCTAACCTAACCTCTCTTTATTCTTTTTCACTCTCTATCTCTACCTTCTTTTCTTCTGTTTTATTATTGTATTTATTTCTCTAATTTTTAAACATTGGGAAAGATCAGACATAAATTTTCTATTCTAATTTACATGAAGACAAGCCATCTTGATTACAATTATTCTAACCTAACCTCTCTTTATTCTCCTTCGCTCTCTAATTCTACCTTCTTCTTTTCTATTTTATTAATTTATTTATTTCTTTAATTTTTAAATGTTGAGAAAGATCAGACATAAATTTTTTATTTCAATCCACACGAAGACAAGCTACTCTGCTTACAATTATTCTAACCTAACCTCTCTTTATTCTCCTTCGCTTTTTAACTCTATCCTCTCCTTTTCTATTTTATTAATTTATTTATTTCTTTAATTTTTAAATGTTGAGAAAGATCAGACATAAATTTTTTATTTCAATCCACACGAAGACAAGCTACTCTGCTTACAATTATTCTAACCTAACCTCTCTTTATTCTCCTTCGCTTTTTAACTCTATCCTCTCCTTTTCTATTTTATTAATTTATTTATTTCATTAATTTTTAAATATTGGGCAAGATCAGACATAAATTTTCCATTCTAAACCATATAAAGACAAGCTATCCTGCTTACAATTATTCTAACCTAACCTCACTTTATTCTCCTTCGCTCTCTAATTCTACCTTCTTCTTTTCCATTTTATTAATTTATTTGTTTCTTTAATTTTTAAATGTTGCAAAAGATCGGATATAAATTTTCCATTCCAAAATATACAAAGACGAGCTACCTATCATAACATTAAATTATATTTAAACTAACTATATCATCCTTCGATCATCTTAAAATTTGTAGAAATTCTAGAAATTTTTATAACCTTATTCTAAACGAAATACAATTACGATTGACCAAGATTAAATAAAATTTTTCGCAATTAAACCGTATCACGAGCGACTAAGTTCACCGATAAATGCATTTATAAACGCCATCTTTGCACTCGATATTCAGCAACGCCATCTACCCGGATGGCACGTCGAAGAGAAGCGGAAGCGGAGGGATTTGAAGTATCCGCGTTGCAGGCTCGACAGCAGCATTCGAAACGTCAAAATAAAAAGGCGCGAATTTATCGGGATGATTTATTATATTTTTCTGTGGCGCACCCTAAAAACCATATTTCACGCTGATGCATGTAATGGCGCGTGTGCACGCGCGCTGGTTCGCGAGCATGGGCGAGAGAGTCGGGGGAAAAAAGAGGACAGAGAGGAAACAGAACGAGGGGGAGAGAGAGAGAGAAAGAGAGCGAGGGGGAAGAGGGAGTTTCGATTGCAAGCGTCAGCTTTACGAGGGAAATATTTCGGTAAGAAATTGCCGTCATGCGACGCAATAAAAATTCAGCGAACGCGATTACCGGCAGAAAACACGGTAATTACGAGAGAACGATACGCGTTGATCAAGAGTCATCTGTCCGATGGCTACTCCGCGACATCGATCATCCACGCGATCGTGTTTCACTCGTAAAAATTGCCCGTTAAAAGCGTCCGAATTTCCGCCACCGGCCGGAGGGTGGGCAAGTGGTGGGAAAGGGGTGGCAGATTATTTTCGCCAGGATTGTAAAGCGATTTTTACGAGACATTTTCACCGTGTATTATCCGCGAGTGTACCCCGGCGTGTCGGATATTAAAAATCGCGTAACTGCCAAAGTGGCCAGGGGACGATAAAACGGAACACGTGTTTAACGCTTTTTGGGGCTGTAAACGAGCGCTCGTGCACGTGGATGTTCCTTTCCAGCTGCGAATTAAAATGTTCCCCCTCTGGGTGGAAATACGTTGTCCCGTAGATGCGATCGTTGATGGTGTTTTCGAGCTGCGAATTGATTCCAACGGGCTCTACTCGTAATGTTTTAAAAATATTGGAAATGTGATTGGTGTGCCAGTCGTTCTGGCCGGCTGGCTTCTGCTCGATGTGCAATCAAATTCCTATGGGGTGGAGTTTGCTCGTTCGGTGACACGTAATTCTGTTATGTTTGCGATGTTAGGAGTAACTTGGAAAATTGTGCAGTTGGGAAAAATAATATTTTGTTATTTAATATAGACATGTACAATATTTGTAGATATTTTTTAGTAGTCTGCAGTGGACTGATTAACTCGAAGTAGTAAAATTGTGCAGTTGGGAAAAATAATATTTTGTTATTTAATATAGACATGTACAATATTTGTAGGTATTTTTTAGTAGTCTGCAGTGGACTGATTAACTCGAAGTAGTTAACCCTTTGGACTCGAAGATTTCTTCGTTGCGAAGATGCAATTCGAAGCTCTTCCTAGATTTTTATAAGCTCACTGATACTCTTTATGCTAAAATTGAAGAAAGAATAGAATTTCTTAATATAATTATTATCATTCGTAATTTAAGTTATAGCATTAAAACAAACGGTGACTAAGAGTCACCTCTCGAGTGCAAAGGGTTAATATATTTTATTAGTCAAGGCACACAGATCTGTAAACAATATTCTCATAATACAGGCTGACTCACTTGCTACACAAAATAACAACAAAAACATGTGTTTACACAAATTGAAGGAAGATGTCGCGATTGTAAGTTGTAAATCCAACACAAGGATTTAAGCATTGTGCTAGACTTCTGCTAATATTTAACAATATTTTATAATATCTTGAATAGATGTATCAAATTTCCTTGACTTTTTATTTGAAAAAATAAATTTTCGAATTTTTATATTTCAATAAGCTGATAAAATACTGATTAATTTTAGTTGGAAATATTTTTTGGTCAGACTGTAGAAAGTGTCTGAAAAATTGTAGTAACAGTTACCATTCAGTCACACTCTGTATAATATAATTACTATGAGGATGTAATACAGGTGTTTAAATTTATGTAATGTATTATTCGCATTTACTATTAAAGTCGTAATTAAATTGTAGTTGAAGAAGGGAATAAATAATACTGGTGGAAATAAAACTAGGAAATTGGGGTCTTTCCTTGGCTCTGCGTATTTTCTACAGAACGTGTTTTATTTACTTGTCCAGGTATCAAGACGACAAGGAATTAGTTTTAAAGGACGACCACTACGAGGGTGGTATCACCGAAGAAACGGCCCTCACCGTGAAAAATGCGACATCCAATGACATGGGTTCTTACAAGTGTGTACTAGACAATAACGTTGGCACATCAACTTCAGAAGACAGCGTTCAAGTGTCTGTGCTATGTGAGTATTTCAAAATTACTACCTTAGTCGATTACTGTACAAATTATTTGCAAAATAGAGCGTTATAAATTTTCAATTAACTTTATTCTTCCCTCAAATTTTCAAAGTCTCAAATTAAGAATCTTTCAATTTCCAAATTTCTCAATATTTCTTAAAATTTTTCAATATTTAACTTTCCGAATTTTCAAGCATTTAAATTTTATATTTTAGAATATAAATATTACAATTTTTTAATTTTAAAATTTTCTAATTTGTTTCATTCTCCTTTGTCACATATTAGATGCGTATTTTTTAAAGGTAAATTAAGCTGCAAAAATGTAAGGAGATATAAAATTACGTTTAACGTTGAAATTATTTGTAGAATAGAGTGTTACAAATTTTCAATTAACTTTATTCTTCCCTCAAATTTTCGAAGTCTCAAATTACGAATCTTTCAATTTCCAAATTTCTCAATATTTTAAAAAATTTTTCAATATTTAACTTTCCGAATTTTCAAGCATTTAAATTTTATATTTTAGAATATAAATATTACAATTTTTTAATTTTAAAATTTTCTAATTTGTTTCATTCTCCTTTGTCACATATTAGATGCGTATTTTTTAAAGGTAAATTAAGCTGCAAAAATGTAAGGAGATATAAAATTACGTTTAACGTTGAAATTATTTGTAGAATAGAGTGTTACAAATTTTCAATTAACTTTATTCTTCCCTCAAATTTTCGAAGTCTCAAATTACGAATCTTTCAATTTCCAAATTTCTCAATATTTTAAAAAATTTTTCAATATTTAACTTTCCGAATTTTCAAGCATTTAAATTTTATATTTTAGAATATAAATATTACAATTTTTTAATTTTAAAATTTTCTAATTTGTTTCATTCTCCTTTGTCACATATTAGATGCGTATTTTTTAAAGGTAAATTAAGCTGCAAAAATGTAAGGAGATATAAAATTACGTTTAACGTTGAAATTATTTGTAGAATAGAGTGTTACAAATTTTCAATTAACTTTATTTTTCCCTCAAATTTTCGAAGTCTCAAATTACGAATCTTTCAATTTCCAAATTCCTCAGTATTTCTTAAAATTTTTCAATATTTACCTCTCCGAATTTTCAAGCATTTAAATTTTATATTTTCCAATATAAATATTACAGTTTTTTCATTTTCAAATTTTCTAATTTGTTTCATTCTCCTTTGTCACATATTAGATGCGTATTTTTTAAGAGTAAATTAAGCTGCAAAAATATAAAGAGATATATAATTACGTTTAACGTTGAAGCTATTGATATTAGAATTAAGCATTATTTTATTTCTCTCGGTGAATGGGAAACAGCATAGACCGATTTTTGCAATGTGCTGTATAGTTGTTAAATCGCGTCGCTACTGGAATATCCTGTTCTAATAATGGAGACAAGAATATAATATGTCTATGAGAAAATAAAATCGACATCATCGATGGGAGGGAAAGATACCTGAAGAAACAGTTCCGTTCCGTTTCGCATTACGACAATTTATCGCGTTTTATTCCGGTAAACGATATTTATGCGTCCATAAATTCTCGCGTGCGCCGCTTTAAAACCAATGTCAGGACGTTCCTAATGCTTACTTTTGCTCACTAGCAAACATAATCTGCCCACTATTCCCCCTTCAACCTATTTTCCCCAAAAACTCCATCGCCTATCGCGAAACAAGACATTATCAAAATTTATCCATAATCTATCCATAGAAAATTGAATCCAGATTTTTCGAATAATCTAGCAGAGAGTCTATTTTAACCCTTTGCACTCGAGAGGCGCCCTTCAGTCCCGATTTGATAAAATTTCGAAGCTCGATATTGATTAATATATTAAATTTAAAATAATGTAACAGTGCGCGAGATATCGAAATTAAATAATTCTACATGTTAGTTATTATACGATTTCTTATTTAGTGCTCAAAAGATATCGTCAGCCTCATAGCAGAAAATTTTCCAACTCGTACCCTTCTTTAGCCAAAAAATCGTCGAGCGCAAAGGGTTAACTCTGTGGAGTTCGCTGGGATTAAAAGTGTCCCACCTTTTCGATGCACCGTAATTATTTAACACTAAAGCTATCACGACAGGTCAAAAGATTAATAACTTGAAATAAAGAAAAAGGAGTCTTAAAAAAAAAAAAGAAAAATAGAATAACAGGAAATATCGAATAATTAATTATATACATAATATATTAGGAGAAAAATCACGCAGTCAAGTGATCAAAGCGAAAAAATGGAATAAAGAATTAAAAAATAGTTATTTGAACCCTGGTAGGTTTAGTGTTAACTCTTTGGGGTACGATGGGATTAAACGTGCCCCACCTTTTTGATGCATCATAATGCATGGTGGGACATTTTTAGTCTCACTTTGGAAATATTGCAATAGCTGCATGTGCATAAGTTTATATTTCGTCTTATTTACCTAGAACAGTTGGTAATACCTTCGACAAATGTTATAAATGTATTTGCTCGTGTTGGCAACATTCAATATACCAATACAGATTCATCGATTGTTGCAAGCCGAAGGTTTATTGCGACAATCTCTTTTTCCTGGTTTTATGTTTTTACATTACGAGATTCCTTTATTAGTAAAAATATGGATATTAAAAATATTTATTAAAAATTAGTAAAAATATTAATAGAAATAGATTAATAAAAATATGGAATTTTGTTTCGTTTCACACTTTGACTATCACGGTGGTCATTGGTGACCGGAGCGCTTGAACTACTTGAACTACATTGAACTACCTTGAATGAAAATTGACAGTTAGTGCATTTTGAATATAACCGTTAATTAGAACATACTTTGAAGTAAAAAGTGCCCCATTGAACAATTAAATATTTTTATTAGAACATCAAAAAAATATTGGAATAAATCTTGCATCTAGCGGTGCACTCCCATGGTGTCCCGAGGGGAACATGTGATTTCGACGTTGCAGTCAAAGGATTAAAACGCAATAAAATTTCTATGCAACATGGGTCTATTTCATCATCTGAAATCCTGTGACGTAAAGAGTTAATTAATTTCGATCTTATCATTCTCCATGTTTTTTAAAATTATAAAGAAAAACTGGCACTAATCTTCCAATTTCTCGCTTCATCCTGAAAATCGCGATGCTTCAATAATAACCAAAATATTGTCCATCTGAAAACCGACACACGTTTCACCCATATCGTGAACTCGTTGAAATCCTCAATCAACGCTGTCCCACACATCTCTCTTGTCAAATCCACGAATTGCCAAGTCAAGCAAGCATGTGCAACGATTCTGAATAAAACATACGAATAACAGACACTCGACGTTGTCGAACGAGTGACACTGTATTTTTACTTTGTACATAGGCTGGTGAACGATAACGAGGAAAGATAAGCGCGTGAAAGAATACCCAGACCTGTTATCGATTCGACCAGCCATTTTGTCACTCTCGGCGCGGCCATGCATTTTGCACTTATCTTCATTACAAGTACTAATTTCCTTCGGCTGCTTGGCCAACTCGAACCAGCGATAAATCGTTCGGCAATTATTTATTCGTCGCTTGTAAATCAACGGTGGTAAAAAGGATAGTCGAGCACGGGCGCCATGGGGTGCAATTTGTTCGGCATTATCGTCGCGAGTCAGTACGTATCGCGTCGATTTTACATGTGGCGACGATTAAAAGGGTCGCATGGTGTCCGGGAATACTTGGCAACATTAGGTTAATTGCTCGGACTGACAGGCCAGCCGTTATCGTCACTTATTTAACGAGGCAAACGAAAACCGAACCGGGCTATGAATAATGAAGCCAGTATCTTAATTAGCCGAGCAATTACACGGTTCACCGAATCGTCAAATCGGCCCAGTTGATTCCAACAATAGATCGTCTGTTAATCGGTTTATCGCTAACTTCGTTATCAAAAATCGATCGCTGTTGTCTTTGGCTGTTACCAGCGTCGGATTACAGGAAGTGGAGGAAGCGAATTGATACGGTACGATTGGAAAATGTTTGTAGAATATCGTTTAATTACTAGAAGAGATAATTACGAGATATTCACGAATAGGACACTGATAGTAAGAGAAAAATTCCGAGATAATATCAATAAAATTAGAAAATTCTGCGATATATACGATATTTACGGTATATTGGAGATACGGGTGATGGTGGCGCTAGTGAGTTAAATGGACAAGCCCTTTAAGGCTGTCGTACGCGACAGAGGATAAAACAACGGTATATCGGAACTTGTTATTTTTTAATTAATAGTGCTTTCGATTAATATTATACGTTGCTTCTAAATATTTTTCCGATTTCCCAATCTTTGTAATAAATTATATATTTTATAACTTTGCTAATATAGTTTTAAAGCTGTCGAAATGCTCACTCGTGAAGGAGTTAATGATTGATATTTGCCAATACGATTAACATTAATCGAATATACCACTAATTAAAAACAAGCTTTCAGTAAAAATCACATACAGCTTGAAGATATCTTTCTATAAAATTTTCGCGAACGATTTAAATAATTTTGTAATTATTATATATAAATATATAAATTTGATAATTCGTTCAGTCTGCTAAATAATTCGATAAAATTTTAACGTATCGATAGGATATTTATTAACGGCTTAAATAGCTTAATTATTCACTGGAGCTGTTTTAAGTCGAGAGATTCTCGTTTAAATAATTAGTTGCGAATATTTCCACGTATCCATTCCTTTCGTTCCCACGCCACGTCGAATTTCGAAATCGAGTACGCTCGAGGACAAGCACATTTATCAAGCCGACCCGTACCTTTGGGCGCCAGCAATTTCAGATATTAGGGTTATGGAAAAGGAACCTGTGCGTGAGCTGGATAGGTTAATCCATTAAAATGAATGATTTCGATTCGAATCAAACGGGCGGATTCTTCCTCTGGCTACAATTTTCCAAACGAATTTCCATCGGAAGATTTAGGTTTCGTCGGTGTCATTTGAAATTTTTGGCTGTCCTTTGTGCAGGGCGGAGGACAGGTCCATTT